ACATGTTAACTGGAAAGCCCAAGTTGACAAAGTCTGTTCTAAAATAAATAGCTACATTTTTCTTCTTAGCAGACTGAGAAGAATTACATCTCATGAAACTTTACTAACGGCGTACTATGCATACATTTATTCTGCACTCGATTATGGTCTGTTGCTTTGGGGTAACAGTACATATGCTATTAAAGCCTTTACAGCCCAAAAGAAATGTATTCGAGCTATGAATGGTTTGGCACCAGATTCGTCGTGTAAACCGTATTTTAAAAAATTAAACATTTTGACGCTGTCATGTATGTACATCCTCAATTTGGTACGTTTTGTTAAAAATAATATACTTTTATTCACAAAGCTAAGAAATAATGCACAGAGAAACTTGAGGCATACTGAAAGATTGACACATAGTGTAATGCCAAGCACTAGCCTCTATAGGAAAAATTGTTCAGCTATGTGTATAAAAATTTTCAATGCACTGTCCACAGAGTTTCAATCACTCCCAAAGGTACGTTTTTGCAGAATTGTCAAACAATGGCTTGAGGAGCAATGCTTCTACTCAGTTGAAGAATATTTAAATTTTATAATTAGGATTAGGAATCGATATTAAAATGAATTAAGTAACTATTAGCATATTATTTTAATTAAATTAAATGTAATAAAATTATTATGATGATTTTGAAAACATGTTATTAATTTATTAGTTGTGAAAATGTAATTAATGTATTAGATAACATTATGACAAAACATGCTGGACTTAAATAATTTACCAACCTGTAATGTACCATGTTTTCTGCAAATAAATTATGATTATGATTATGATTATAACATTTTAGTTAAAACATTTAAAACTGATTTAGAAAACCTACCTGAAGAGGATTATAAAGTCGTCATTCACGCAGATCGGAACCCTCGAGGAGATCATGAAAGGCGCTACAATGCACCTTTGATAAACGAAATACCAGCCGTAATTAGTGGTGATCAATTTTCTTCACGAAAAATTGTCTTGCGAGCACGTGATGGTACGTTGCACCGGGTAGCCGATACACACAAGTTTTATGACGCTCTGCAATACCCATTGATTTATTGCAAAGGACAAGAGGGTTATCATTTTCAAATTCCACTCCTTAACCCGGTCACAAAGGAGCCTACTTCGAACAAAAAAAATATTATGTATGAATTTTTATGCGTATCATAATATGATCTTGCGAGAAAATGATATTAACCTCTTAGCCCGGTGTAGACAATTATTTCATCAATTTTTGGTAGACATGTATGTAAAGGTAGAAAGTGAACGTCTCCGTTATATATCTTTAAATCAAAAAATCGCGTTGTGAATTATATACATTTACAAGATGCAGTTTCTAGCGACGCCAATGTAAACCCCAGAGATTTAGGTAAAATGGTAATTCTGCCCTTATCATTCGTTAACAGTCCCCGCTACCTACATAAGTACACACAAGACGCATTCGCCTATATACGAACTTACGGAAGACCTTATCTTTTTGTTAATTTTACTTGCAATCCCACATGGAAAGAAATAACCGAGGAGCTAGCAAAGTGCAAGAGCAAACGTTACAGGTAGCGGGGGTCAACTTAGAAAAACCGTGCTTCTCTCATGGTCAGCTGTATGTAGCAAATTCGCGTGTTTCAAATGCCCATAATCTCCACATTCTTTCCCCGAATGAAAACAAACATTATAACATTGTGTACAGTAGCGTCTTAAAATAGTGTTAAGTAAGTTTTTTTCCAAAATTCCCACAATCAATTTATCAGAATTCCCACAGATCTTCCCTTTCAATTCAAAATTTCCTATTTAGCTCAGTTTCTTTTCAATTCCAAATCTGCACCTCTGACGGACCTATTAAGCTCAGTTTCCTTTCAACTCAAAAGGCTGCATCTCTGACGGATCTTTTATTTGGCTCAGTTTCCTTTCAATTCAGAAAACTGCATCTCTGACGTATCAATTTAGCTCAGTTTCTTTTCAAAAGTCTCCATCTCTGATGGATAATTATGCTCAGTTTCCTTTAATTAAAAAAATATCCCATTTCCATTTGGAATAAACAAGCTATTTTCATGCTTTCCTATACGCTGCGTTCAAAACATTTAAATAGGCTGACGAATCAATTTTGCTCAGTTTCCTTTTAATGGCTGCATCTCTGACAAATCTATAAAACTCAGTTTTCTTTCAATTCAAAAAGCAATGGATAGTTCCCAGTGACCATGCGGGTGAAGCCGCGGGCAACGACTAGTGTTTAAATAATTTAAAAAAAATTGATGAAATTGACATGTAGTAAAAGTAATTTTTTGCAGTAATCCAATGGTGGTTATTGAGTGGATGACGTCGAGGATAACGTCGTCATGGACGAGGTATTTTTAACCCCGGATGCCCATGCAATGTTTGTGTCTCCGTGAAAGGGTGAGAGGTGGCAGAGTGGAATAAGAGGTGTACTTGGTGTAGTTTGGCGAGGAAGGGCACGTGGGCGTGGGCATCCACAACGGGGCCGTAGGGGGGGGACAACAATGGGAGGTGGGACATCCACTGTGTCAAATTTATTTGACTGATGACGACGTCCCCCGTGAAGTGGTAAGTTTGGCGAGGGATGTTATGAGGAGACGGGAGATGAGAATAGGAGATGATGCTAGACTCGAAAGGAGTAGTCAGGGAGGAAACAGAATGGAAAGAGGTAATGCAAGCAAGAGTGAAGATGCGGATAAATTTTAATCGCCAGTGATGTAACGCATGGTCTTACTCGGCTGGAAGGCCAGAACCTCCAGTTTGAATGGTCTCCTATAGACGAATAGGTGGAGAATGTTGTATTTGAGCGAACTGGTTCGGTTCAGTTTTACAATTCGACGTATGACGCTTTTCATTCCTTTTGGGATGATGACATTTTAGGCCACATTGTAGCTGAGACGAACTCTTAAGCTTCCAAAATTGCATCTGCCGGTTTCCAGTCCCAATGGTATCCCACCAATATTGACGAAATTTTGTTACCCCTTTCCAGAAAAAGGGTCTCCGGTTCTCTACATTCACCATACGAAACAGCATCGTTAAGCTGCTATTTTACGCTGGTACTCTGTGAAAGCGTGGTCCTTCTTCGGTCGAGCCGAACTATTCGTGATAAAACTATTGTACTACTAATATAGCTGTAGTATGGCTCACTTAAGAGGAAAAAAGACTAAAAAAAGTTACATGAAATTCTAAATAATTTTTATAATACTATATGTTTTATAGAAGAGGGGGTAAACGAGCATACGGTTCATGATGTTGTTTATTTATTTATTTATTTATTTATTTATTTGCCATTACGTTACATTACGTAACATTGGTACGTCAAAATTACAATTACAATTATATAGATACAATAATATAGTTAAAATTACAAATTATACAATTACAATAATATAATTAAGATACATCTCATTTACAGTACATTATTTTATGTGTCAAACAAGTCAAAAAATGAACATTGCATATATTCTTCTATGTTGTAAAAAGCGTGATTTAAAAAGAATGTTTTTATCACTTGTCGGAACGCATTTAGCGGAAGTCTTGTTATTTCTATTGGCAATTTATTGTACATTATAATTTTTATTGCAAAACCTTGCTTGAACACTTTGACTAATCTGGTTCTTGGAACAACTAATCTTTCGCGATTTCTAGAATTGTAGTTATGTACGTGCTTCTTCATTGGTAGTTTACTTTTTTCCTGGTGTACTTCTAGAAGCGATCTATAAATATATAACGAAACGACAGTCATAATTTTCGCTTTTTGGAAATAGGCTCTAGCTGATGTCGATCTTTGCAATCCATGTATAATTCTAATCGACCTTTTTTGACAAATCAGTACTCTTTCAATTTGTGTAGCATTTCCCCATATCGTAATCGCGTAGCTAATAATTGAGTGACAATATGCAAAGTAGACGGATATAAGAGTTTTCTTGTCAATAATGGGCTTAAGCTTCAATAATGCGTAATTAGCACTGGCTAACTTTTTTACAGACGTTATCTATATGGGTTTCATAACTTAAAGTGGAATCGAAAGTACACCCTAAAAATGTAACGTCACTTTTTGTGACTTTATTTGTTTTTTTGCTTGCATAATTAATAATGATACTTTTTTCTGCATTCAAAATTATTCCGTTTGTTTCAAACCAATTTTTAAGCATATTTAAAATATCATTTGTCTTCTTGGATACTTGGACTGCATTTTTATCTTTAACACTAACCTGTGTATCATCCGCGAATAGTGTAACCATCGCCCAGTCAGGTAAATTATTTGCAAGGTCGTTCACATACACTAAAAACAGCAATGGTCCCAGGATAGAGCCCTGCGGAACGCCAATGTAACTATGTTGTGAATCAGAGTTAGTATTATTTAAATTAACTATTTGCGTTCGATTGTTAAGATAAGACTGCATTATTTTCAATTCTTTTCCTTCAAATCCGTAGAATTTTAATTTATAAATTAAGATATCATGCCTCAGACAATCGAACGCCTTAGATAAATCGCAAAAAATGCTAGATACCTTCTGCGATCCATCCAACGCGTCCAATATAAAGTATACTGTTTTTCTAATAGCCATTTCCGTTGATCTTTTTTTGCGAAAACCGAATTGACAGTCTGTAAATAGATTATTTTTTTCAAAGTAGTCTAATATCCTAGATTTTAAGACAGTTTCTAAAATCTTTGATATAACTGGTAATATACACACCGGTCTGTAATTACCAATTTCAATAGTTTGTCCTTTTTTTGAACTGTGGCACAATTTTTCCTATTTTTAAGCTATCTGGGAAAATTCCTTCTATAATGCAATCATTCAAGACTTCCAATATTATATCAAACATGTCTTTGTTGTGGATGATAAGTTCTCTAATAGTTTTTGTTGACATATCGTATATGTCTCTAGACGTTTTACATTTTAAACTATGAATAATATTCCAAAATTCAGAATTATTTATTTTATGAAAGCGAATTTTATTATTTGTTGGGTTTTTTAAATATTTGCTACATTTTTCTATTGCAAAAGAACTCATTGAAACTGTTTGCCATATTTTTATTATTTGTAATTATGTCCCCATAGTGATTTTTAATTTTAGTAATTTTATTTATTCTTTGTGTTTTAACATGATTTTTTTGTTCCTTAATAATAGTCCAAGTAGTTTTAATTTTATTCGTGAAATTTTTAATTCTAGACGCGTTCCTAAGTTTTTGGGCTGTTTGTAGTACTTTTCTATATATTCTCTTATATCTATTTAGATTGGACTTTCTAATTTTATCTGGATACAAGTTATGCAATATTTCGAGTTTTTGAAGATTATTTCTAGATATCAAAATACCCTTGGTTGTTAGTTTATTCTTATTTTTTATAGGTTTTATTGTTTTTAATGGAAATGCAGTGTAATCCCAATATTGTATATAGTCTATAAGAATGTTCATTTTCTCATTTGCGTCAAGTTTCAAATTTACATCCTTTCTTACACATTCAAAGTCTTTACAGAACAAGTAATGAAAATATTTTATATTTTCCTGAGATATTATTCTAGATCTAACCTCAGTCTTCTCCTTTGGTTTAGGATATTTAGAATTCAATTTATACTTTAATTCTATGACGTTATGATCTGATAACTTTACGTCTAATACTTTACCCCTGTGATACTGAAAATCATCATCGTCATTTAAAATGAAATTATCAATACATGTGGAAGACTTCCCTTTGGTTCGGGTTGGCTCATTTAAGACGAATTTACATTTTAATTCACTCAATAGTTTTAAAAATTTGGATACTTTATTATTTGGTTTCAATAGGTTTAAATTAAAATCTCCTGCAATTACAATTCTTTTGTTTTCCCTCCCTATTTTTTCGATAACTTTAGTCATAATATCTTCGAATATTAAATAATCATAATCAGGTCTATATACACAAATAATAACTAATTTAGACGATTTTACTTCAATTGCCGCTAGTTCACAATTCATTTCAATACTCAACTTTACAATGTCATGTCTTATTTTATATTCAAGTGAGTGTCTAACAAAAGTAGCTGTACCTCCATGTTCAAATAGCATCCTATTGTAATATGATACAAGTATAAAGCCTTCAATAGTCATTACGCCTAATTTCAATTCATTGGTCCAAGTCTCTGTTAGACAAAGCACATCACAAGTTGTATTTTCTGTTAATAATTTTAGCTCTAAATATTTATTATTAATACTCTGAATATTAGCATGCACAATCGTTAACCAGTTAATGGAGTCTTGGTTGTGTCTAAACAATTTAAATTAGAATTTAATTTGATAAAGTGCAAACAAGACGAAGCATTAAAGTGACTATCTTTGATACTTTTAACAGTTTCCTCAATCACTATATTTTTTACATTTACCTTGACTTTTACATTTATTTCAAGATATCTGACATTCTCAGATACCGCAGCTAGATTAAAGAGTTCTTTATTAATAGTAAAGATTTTATCATCATTTATGTTGTCGTATATTATACTTCCTAACAAAATGTTGAATTTTCTATTTTCTTTGCTCACAATTCTTCGAATTTCATCCACATATGATGTCCCCATTTTAATGTCGTAGTTTCCTATTAGTATTACCGCTAAGTCATTTTCTTTCAAATCTTTGGTATATAAATCAAAGTGCTTCAATATTTGTTTATGATTTCCCCCCTGTTTGACAGTAATTTGTTATTTTTGTATTTTCCAATTGTTGCATTAATTTGATTGCTAGTCCACTCCCTATTCTGTCCGAAAACATTTCTATTCTTGTCAGTGTTTTTGTGTTCTTTTTTCTTTTTCCGCTTTGTGCCCTGTCTCTTTCTGATGTTTCTATTTTATTTCCTTTTCCTTGCAGCTTTGAAGAGTAGTTTTCCTGCTTATGTATTATTTCTTGTTTTTTCTGGACTTTCGTTGATATTTTTAGTTTAGTAAGTGTTTCCAATTCTAATAATTTATGTTGTATTCTATTCTTCTCTATCTTTAAGTTTTTCAGTTCTTTCTGTAATTTTCGAACCCTCTTATTTTGTATTTTAATTTTTTTAAGAAGGTTTTTAGTTGCATATTTAATTTTAGGTTTTAATAGCAATTTAATTCTTTTATTCCTTTTTATTTTAATATTTTGTGAGCTCGGATTATCATCGGTTTGAGTTACTGCGTTTTTTTGAATTTTATTGAAAAGTTGTGTTTTGTTTAAACTGCTAGCTGGCTTGGGTGACATACCGCGTATTTTTTCAGGTCCTAAAGTTTGTATAGCTCTTAGTGATTTAATCACCATCTGGCAGTTTTCTAGTTCCCTTTGCAAGTCATTGTTCTGCAATATAAAATTATCTACTTCTGTATTAGCAGCTTGAAGAGTTTGTTTTAGTTGTTCAATTTGCATTTCTAATTCAATCATCCTTGAGCTATTGTGTATAGATACGTCTGGAAGGCTCCTTAAACTATCACCGTACATAATAACTGAATCATTGGTTATTGAGCCCTCCAAGCATGCTACATCATTTTCGGAATTATAACGCCGCATGCGTCTGAATGTTATGTTGCTATAGCTTGTATTCATCTTAAATTTGCTTACTTTCCTACAATCTATTTATATTCCTATAATAAGGATTTGGTGCTACTGCTTTTCTGTTTCTTTAGGTTTATTCTTTGTAAGTTATTAAAGGCTGTCTTAAGGAAACATACAAAAAGAAGTCGAATTATATCGTAGATTTGATCCCACGTCTTTTTGGTTGTAACGCGTCGCACTCACCACTAGGCTAGCTGGCTTGTTTGATGAATGGTGAATTTAAGTATTATATTCCGGACTAAATTCATTTGAGGTACTAGAGACACTCGTTATTTGTTTTGTTTTGCGAGAAGTTATTAACATTCACCTTCATTTGCAAAAGAAAACAAAATCACTTTTCGTTCAGTTTTTGATCAAAATCTAGTATTGAAACAAAGTTTTTAGCCACTGCCACACCACTAAAGAGTCTCACCACTATTTATGCACGTAAATAATGACATTTTGAGATATTTAGTGCACTTTTTACACTGTTTTCATTTAATTTTTTGAGGACGACATAACAGATCGACCTTTCGCTTCGGGTCCTACCCTATCACTCTCACTTGAAAAGAAGAGAATAAGAAATATTCGTACCACTGTAAGCTACGTAACCGTTTACCGACGGAATTAAACACGTGTCTGTCTAATGGATCGAAAATAATTTGACGTGACAGCGCAATATCTACGGAACGCCACGTGTAATGCTAACAAACCTTTTCTATTCCATTGTTATGATGTTAGGTTATGATGTACTGATGTTAAGTGACTACCGCCGTCCATGAACAACTGCAACACCAGGAGAATTGGAGGTGAGTTGCCAGCCTTTTAGAAAGGAGTAAGCTCTTTTCTTGTAGGTCCCCTGGTCGTATCGGTCCGGAAAAATCGCCGGAGATAAACTATTCCACAGAGAGGTCATACGCGGAAGAAAACTCCTTGTGAAACGTACAGTGGTGGACGGCCAAGCATCCAGATGGTGTGGATGGTTTTCCCCGTGGTACATTCATGAAATTTGGCGGCTGGGACTAATACATTCGATTGATATCATCTGGATCAAATAGTCTAAAACAAAATTGTTATATCGTTTCTCTTCTGGTTGCTGTGGTAAATAATTGCGCTACCCACGTCTCTTACTATATCATTCTTTTACCCAAGGGTTACCTGAATGACATAGATTTTAGAAATAAGACCACCCATCGTACTTTTTTACTTTTTAAGTTACTTGTTTCTGTACTTATAATAGGCAATAAAGTGAAATGTAATATCAATTGTAGTAAATAAGCTGTAACATCAAAATGTAAATATTTGAAACAAAATATGTGAATAAAACAATTATAAATCTTATTTATTGTATTTTATTAAATTGTCTCAAACTATGTACATGAACCTAGTTGGTATTATATATTATATTACAAAAACAACTATCGATAAAATATTAATAAAATTCCAAAAGTTGAAGGAACATACCTAGTTGTTTTTTTTCCTTCGTCAGGTATGTTTTCAAGTGGTTTTATTATAAATATCCCAAGGTATTTGGTAGAAGTTTTTACATTTTTAGATAGCTTAGATCCTTGTTTATTGTTTTTTATTTGATTTCCAAATTAATTCGTGAAAGCAAGCTCACAAAATAGTTCGCCACTTTTGATCATGTTTATGAAGCATATTGTTTTGATAAAAACTTTAGATTTGATATCAAGCTGAAAATATATTTATCAATTAGTACATTGCCGTTTACAGAATGAAAAAATGTGATCTGATTGCAGAGTAAATACATTTATTGTATATGGTAGTATTAGCGACGCCATTTTGTAAACGGCACGGGCGATGTTGATCATTTTAGCTGGGGATTGAGGTGTTAATTATACCCTTTACGCACAGCAATGCAGGTGATGCTTATTGGTGCCAGGAATAAGTAAAATGTGGTACCGTCTACACCGACGGAATAGGAAAAAAAGGAGTCCTACTACCTAGTAAAGATATTAATTTATTTTTCATAGAATAAGCGAGCATATAGTCCATCCGATTGCAATTAGTTGCTGCGACCCATAAATATCTTTCTTCCATCAATTATCAAATTGCGGTGATGACACGAAACGTTACGATAAGACGCGTTGTCACCTCTGAGGACTAAAGTAAATACCTTGTTACTAGTGAAAAGGGTCTCCAATTGTCTACACTCACGATATAAAACAGCGTTATTCTGCTGTTCTACGCTTGTATTCTGTGAAAGCGTGGTTTTAGAGCGGTCCATTGTTGCTACAACCATAATATAGCGTGGCTCCATCACGTTAGATAATACTTTCCAAATACGAATCCAGAAAAATATACCTACTATTTAATTTGTAACACAACATACGTTCACACTAGGTAATTATATTCAAAAAATTATATAGTGGGTACAGATTTTCTTAAAATATATTTACAGAATTAAGTATCTTCAAATTTACTGTTTAAGTATCTTTTCGAGTAAAGTAAAGTGACAGCCTATATATGTCCCACTGCTGAGCACAGGTCTACGCTCATTTCTGAGAGGGTTTTAGGGCAAGGAATTGTCCGCCACGCTGCCCCAATGCGTGTTAGCTAACTTCACATGACTTCGAAATATTTTTTTCTTATTTCTTTGACATTTCCGGTATCCTCACGATATTTTCCTTCACCGCCGAGCACGTGGTAAATCAGCACTTAAAATTGCAATTAACAATTTCATTGGTGCCGGCGGGGATTAAACTCGGTTTGCTCGCGTACTGTGAAATTTACAGCGAGCGCTACCATCTGAGCTACCACGGATCTATCAAGTCTCATCTTTTCGAGTATCACAATATAATAATGTGACGATACTTGACGAATTATTCGATTTTTATAAAATCATATTATCGAATCACTCAAGCTCTCGAGGAGGCGTCATTAATCATGGAGCGGTGAACTTGAAATTTAATAGATCACCACCTGACAAATTCACAAAGGACCAATCGCTTCATATTTAATATTACCTACGTTACATTTATAAGTGAGGTAACCTTCAATAGAGTTGATTGAAAAAGGCTGCTTGTATTAATCCTTTATAATACTGGATTTCTTTTTTATCTAATATTACAATATTATGGGTATGTACATAATTTTATAATTTTCAAAATTTTGAACAAAATATAATTGTTGTATACAACAAACGATAAAATAATAGAATAAAATTATTTATGCAATAAATATGTCTGAAATAACATTTAACTATTAAATAAATAACTTTAAAATCTGAAACTGTAAGTATAATAAAGAAACATGTACTATATATATTAACCGAATAACGTATTTTAGTGCCCTAGACGTACTCGTAAAAAACCCAAATTGAGTGCTCCGCAGTGTTTTAAGCATCACCATTACCGTATCAAACAACACTATGTACATTACGGTAATTTTAAAAGTAAAAATCATTTATAGCGTTAAGGTGGCTCAAGTCGCGGCCTCGAACTCATTGGTGGGCGCGGCCAAAAAGCACGTTGTCTCACCTGGCATCGTGCCCGACAGAGATAGTACCAGTCAAGAGCAGTTAGAACGCACGTCTTGTTCGTACGGCGTTCCGAACCGTTAGAACAAAAACGAAGTTACACGAACACGATGCACACATACATACCACCCTATTCTGTGCCGCTCGACGCTTGCTAAGAAATCAGCAGTACCTACCTACAAACTCGTACTAAATTATTAGGCACTGCGCTACGTTATCGCTTTATACTATACCTCTATGGCTCTATAGATACCTAATATAGATTGCTTATTTTATTATGTTTTGTTTTCCCCGGGTGGTCATGCAGCGATCACTCAAGAGTTCACGACGCCGAAGCATGAACTGGAACAGTCATCGCAATTTATATCCGTACTAGCTGTTGCCAGCGGCTTCAAACGCGTGAACTCGAAAATTATCCCACAGGCATGAAATACCTGAATAAACGGTATCAAAAAATGTGTTATTCCAGACCAGGTATAACCTATCTCTGAGCTAAATATCATCCAGTTCCCTTCAGCTGTTCTGGCGTGATTGAGTAACATACATCTATCCATCCAAACTTTCGCATTTATAATATTTAGATAATAATTGTAATTAGTTCTGCCTACCTATAAATTGTTTTCAAAAATACTTACCTGTCTTCTTACTTTTTTTTATATACACACAATATCACTAGATGTAAACACATGTTTTTATCAAGACAAGTGACCCGTCAAGACTATTTCCTTAGTACCGACGTACTTACGCAGGTAGTAGTAGGTAGGCAAAAACGATTGCTACTGCAAAACTAAATAGGTACCTACCTAACATTCAAATAAAAATATTCTCAAAAAAGCTCAACCAATTCAGAATTTAATTTTGTTAAAAGAAAATTGGTCAAATAAAAAATAAAGGATGAAAATAAAGCATATGGGAATATAAAAATAAATCGTATTTATTTGAATAAAACTATTATTTACGGATTTTATCGCGTTTAATTACTTTAATTTATTTTTATTATTATCCCGACGTTTCGGGTGCTTTACAGCGCCCATGGTCACGGGGGGGTACCATGGGCGCTGTAAAGCACCCGAAACGAACAAGAAAAGCATAATATTTACTGGAGAGAATTATTTTATTATTATAATAGTACATGATATTCCCTTTAAAATGACACCAATATGAATAATATCTCATATCTATATCTACAAATAAATAAAATTTAAGTGTCTGTTTGTAATGTTAAAATAACAGCTTTTTATTAAATGCATATGAAAGTACTAGTAACAAAAACACATTTTTTAAAATTTCAAACACCACAATCTCTAATTTTTTACTCTGCTATCTTCAGCGCTGTACACGAACGGAACGACGTCGTTGAGAGCCGTGGTAGCTCACATGGTTAGCGCTCGTTATAGGTATCACAGTACGGGAGCAACCCGGGTTCTATCCACACTTGCACCAATGAAATTGTTGCATCAGTTGGAAAGTCTGTTTT